ACCGCCCTTCTGCGCGCCCGCGGCCCGTCCTGCTGAGCCGGGGACGGACCCCGGCGCTGCTGACCCTTCTCCCGCACCCGGCCGTTCCAGTGCTGCCGAATCTACTCCACAGTAACATCCCCCTCCTGTCCTCTGCACCGCCCCTGCAGTGCTCTGTGATCCCGGTCTTTCCCTCCTGACAGAGTCGTCTCTTTGCTCTGTGATGTTTTGCTGGGAGCACTTGACACAATGTGAAATTTTCCCCCCACAGGTTCTAGAGATAACATATCTCCTAGCTCTGACAAACACGAAACCTCTCAGTTACAGACTAAAACCTGCTCTGATCCTGACACAGAGAAGAAAACATCTGTCACGTTTAAACACGTTCCCGAATTCACCAGTAATGAGGCTAGCTTGCCAGACAGCTCACTGGTGGAAAGCATACAGGCTAGCCAGGAAAACCTGTGCTGTGAAATCATTAGGCCTGCCACAGAGGAGAAAAAACCCCAAACCTCCAGCAGTTTGTTGAAGCTGAGAAGGCGGATGAAGGCTTTGGTGTCGGAGGAAAGGGAATCAGTGTGTGATGTGCAGATAATCAACACTGGTGAAATGGTGAAAAATCAAAGTGCCAGTATAGAGGAACTTCGGTCTCCAGTCTTCAGGCGAAGCAGTCTCTCGAACACTGAGGAAAAGGCTCAGAGAACATCCAGACCAGCACTTGTGGGGAGAGAAGAAAACAGTTTCACTCCTCCCGATGCAGCGTTCAGAGTTGTACAAGACATGCTTGAAGACAGTGTCCCTCCAGGAGTGCCTGAGCTGTTCCCATGCACACTGAAGGACAGCAGCGATGTCTGGCAGCCTGAGTCCTCGGGTGCTGTGGTGACATCCGATAACCATGAACCTGCATGGCTGTGTTCAGAGAACAGTGACTCTGTTTTACTTGACATCAGTGGTGATGGAGGAAAAGAATCTTCCAGTATAATAAAACAAACGGACAGTGAGAGTATGTATGAAGATCAGGGAGAATTACGTAGGCTCTTGGATTTAATGTCAGAAAACGAAGTATTGCCCACTGGTGGCAACAACACTATAACTAATGAAAGCAAAAGCCATGAAGGAAATCAAAGTGATGCTAATGGCTTAAATCCCTTTCCTGCAGATCTTTCTGTGGGCAACGTTGAGGAACAGTTGGAGAATCAACAGCTTGAACTTCAGTCAAGGCTTTCTGATCCAGAAGAGGTGACAGCTGCTGAAAGCGCATTGAACTCTTGCACAGTGGTTGAAGGGCTTCTCTTTCCAGTTGAATACTATGTCAGGACAACGCGACGCATGTCTAATTGCCAGAGGAAAGTGGACCTTGATGCTGTGATTCTTAGCCAGCTGGGCAGAAGCAAGAAAGGTCAGCGAAGTAAGTGTAAGCAGAAAGATGCAAATTCAGATCGCCCCTCCCAAGAAAGAGTTGAAAACAATTTGGAGTCGGGGGTCACGCCATTCCTTTTTCTTGACTCAGAAAATGATCCAGCAAATTCAGGTAGTCCTCATAAATCTCTGCCTCCATCCAGTGGTAGCAGCACTTCACTTGGATCGATTTCTCAGAACAGTATCACTAGCACAAAGCGAGATCAGAGACGATCGCAGAGGAAACAAAAGGGAAGGAGGAAGTCTGCCTGCAAACCCCCCGTGCATCAGGTGCCACAGGAACTTGTAGAGAGTTTGGATCTCGTAACAATGAGGCAAAGCAGTAGTCTGCTGTCAAATGAGTGTCAGAGTGAAAAGGAAAACTGTGAGGCTAATCATGAAAAATCACCTTCAGGTGAGAGAAGGTTGTCTGCTGCTGCAGCTTTTGGGCCCAGAGAGACAGAAGAGACTGGTGCTGTACAGCCAACGAGTGCTGATCCTCCTCCTGGAGGAAGCCAAGTGCTTGGCAAATGCCATAAGACTCTGTTAGAACAGGTTCAAAATCCACTTCAGAATGGTGATTCTGTGAACCCAGAAACTTTTGCCATCCATATCGGAGATCTGGAAGCCAACTTAACTGTGTGTCAGGCTGATAAACATCCAGTGGAGGATGTTAAGAACCAGCATGTGCAAGGAGCCTGCAGGGCAGAGCGGCTCCTAGCAATTAATGTCCCTCCGCGCCGCTCCCTGCGTTCCTCTGCAAGACAGAGAGCGAGTCAAGTCTCGAAAGGTACTTCATCAAATATAAGCACTCTCTAACACCACAGCCCGAGAGCGAGGCAGGGAAACGGCCCAGTGAGTGCATGCACTGCTGTTCACACCCTGCCATATTTTTTTAGTCAAGAAAATCTTATATGGGTTAACTCTTTCTTTTTTTTTTTCTAAATAAGAGAACTTTTTTAAAAAATATAGATCATTGTGGTGCCCATGGTCCTTGCACAATTCCAGAAACTTCTGCGTCAGCACAGTGACAGGGAGTAAACAGCTGTGCATGAATGAGGAGCTGGGCTGAGAACTTCATAAACTGCCTTTGCTGTTGGAGCGAATGTTGTGCACAGTGGACCTGATTTTCCAGTGAATGAATGTAAATCTCTGTTTGTCCAACTAAGTCCACATATTAATGGGGTTTTTTTAGCGCTGACAAGTGTGAAACACAAAGAGTAGCATTACAGTCTGAGCATCTGTGAGTATTGTAAAAAGAGAATGTGTTGGGAGAAAACCAAACAAAACAAACTGACCAAGTGCTCGGTGAATTCTGGCAGCCTTTGGCAATGATATTTTAGTTGAAGGCTTGATGCAAAGCAGTTGCAGAGTGTAACATTTTTCCATAAAAATGCTGCTTCCATGTGTTGAGATGGATGTGGCTTTTTTTTTTAATTGAAAATATGTTAGAGTGCCACTCTGGATGAGAGATTCTGGAAAGCCCAGTTGCTGGTCATTTTATCATGTGATGTTCTCTCTGGTATTCTTGTGTTTTTCTTCGTCTAGATCAGAGCGAAAGAGGATGTAGCTATCCAATGGGTTCAGAGGATCCCGCATCTCTTGGCCTCCCTGCTGTGGACCCTCACGCTTGCGGCACTCTCTTCTTCCGCAGTCTCCAGTGGCTGGCCCCCAGACTAGGTATCAGAGACTTTCACTTACCGGATGAGGAATTTGGACCACTAAAGCTTGAGAAATTAGAATCTTCCCCTGTGAATGATTTGGAGATTTTTGTTCCTAGTGTGCTTGGAGATGATGCAGCTTCAGAGGACACACAAGGTGCACAAATGAGTCCAGAAGAAAAAAGGCCCCAAAGTAATTTGATTTCACCTTTCAAAAATGTATTGCCCAGGTTACCTCATTCAGAAAACCCAGCTTGCAAGAAGGAACTTTCCACCCATGAATTGCTATTTACTCCTCTGGGGCCTGTCTTAGCTGGTGCTCCCACTCAGCCTCAGTCTCAGATTTCCTCATCTGTTTTCCCTGTCGTGGGTGCAACCCCAGCTGTTTTACCATCAGTACACAGCAAGGTCTTCCCCAATACACCTTCTGTACCTCCCTCGCAAGCAAGCCTGCATTCTTCCAAAGGGGCATCTGCCCAGGTTGTGGATGGTGGGGAGTGCAAAGACTGTGCTGTTCCGCTGCACTTGGACAGTTGTGGCACAGGATCTGCTAGAAAAGAGGAGGAGCAAGGTACAGTGTTTCCTTTAGAAGCTGAAAGCAGTCCTGATAATAAATTCGATGAGGCTGTGGCCTTGGAGAAGCGTCAGCAGTTGGAGAGCAAACAGCAGAGATCCTGCAGAGCTTCTCCTGAACAGGTAACAAGCTGGCCTCTGCCAAGGGTGCTAAGCCACTGGTTTTGTGGGCGAATCCCCTTTTCCAGAGTCTTGCCTGACTTCAGGGGAAAGACCTCTTTGCATGCTAGCCCTGCATGCTGTCTTTTTCCTGACTTTGTAAATGTTTGGTTTTTATCTGTTGCCTAAAGTCTTTCAATCTCGAGCAAATTCTTTAAAATCCTGCTTGATGAAGCTGGAGATAGGGGTTTCAATGCTTATTGCAGGATGCATGTTTGAAATGTGTATGGACAAAAAGTTTCTGGTACCCACATACTGTTGGTCTACCTTGAGGAAAATTTTCAGCTAGGATTTGGTAAAGGAGAATAAATGACTTGCATATGGGATGGGTACTGAGAGAATGACTTGTCTCTGAAGGCTGAGAGATGCAAGTGGCAGTAAAAGACAATTTTCAGGTGAAACCAGGAAATAACTTGGCTGGGATTTCTTGTATTCCAAAGACATGCAAGTACAAAAAGAGGTGCTTCTACCCTGGTTCTCCAGCAACAGTATGCAAAGTGAATTCATGCTTCTGCCTCATTGTTGCGGGTGCTGAGAGTAATTTTAAAGTTGAATTATCCTCATTCTTTGCTTGTTTATGCAGAAGAAAGATGTAGCAGAACAGTTCACTCCAGTACTGCTTGATGGCCTGACAGAAGAGAGCTTGCAGCTTGTGTCAAAGCTAAAGGTGGGATAACATCAGATAATTGTTTGCTGAGTCAGTAGCAGCTCTTTAATACCAAATTTAACAAAAATGCAATAAAAAATGCAGAACAGCTAGTTGAACAAAATAGATTGCTAATTTGATCAGTTCTGTTTTCACTTGTGGTAAAGCATGCCAGAAGGTTAGATTGCTGTATATTTCCTTTTGACTGATAAAGGATTTCAGCAGTTGTTTCTGAATAATGAATGTCTAAACACATGCAAATGTCCTAGCAAAGTCTTGCCCAGGACTGTTTGCAGAGCTGAGCCATGGGCTCTGCCTCCTGCGCTGCTGTCCCTTCACTGTCCTCTGTCTTGTAGCGGGTGGAGAACGGTTGGCAGGCAAGGAAGCAACATCTGTAGGAAAGCCCACTGAACTCCCAGTGAGCTTGCCGGAGGCTGGGTCACCTCTAGCTTTTCCAAACCAAAGTGCAAAATTTTGCTCAAGAAGCAAGCCTGAGGGATTAGCATAACCAGCCAAAAATAATATGTCTGAAGCTGAAAACCTTTTTACAAGGGAGAAGGCCCTTGCTTTGTTTGCTTTTAAACTTGGTCTGTGCTACTGCAAGTCCCATCTCCCATTTGTGCAACAAGGGAAGCAAGTGCATGACTGCAGGTGGGTGGCGCTTGGACTTTGTTGTGGCTGTGCCATGGCAGCCCCAGTCCTGTCCCAGCTCTGGGCTCTGCGGGGTGCCTGTCATTTCAAATGACAAGTGATTTTTGTGAAGTGAGCCAATATATTTGCTGCTTTGAGGGTGAAACGTTTTCTTTGGTGCCTTACTGATGATTTACTCAAAATTAAACTCCGTGAGCATGAAGTTTTAGCCTCAAATTCTCATCACGCTGAATGTCAAGCCTTTTTTTCAATCTGAACTTCTGGGTTCGGTAACCATGTCTGTCAGAAGAGAACAAGCACTGGTTTGTTTTGGACAGGATTCTTCAAATTCCTGCGCTGTGGATGTGAGTACCATGTGGTGGGATGCAGCGGGCAGCAGAGAGCTGTGTGTGGTGACTGCTTGTGAGAGTTCCATCTCCCTGTGGAAACCCCTGGCATCTGACTGCTGGGGAAAGGTCTACACTTGGCAGCTGAGAGAGGTATGAACACAATCCTTATTTCTAGAATCTAGGGCAATTTCTTGTTCCAGTGCATTAGTTCCCAAGGAGCTTGCAGTCTTGGGTGCAAGGTAAATTCTTTAAGTGGCATAAATTTTTCATTCCATCAGACAACAGATGAGAACGATTGTCACTGCTGATGGAGAAGGCCAGTAGCTTGTATGGTCACGTGCTATCTGCTGGAATTTGATACTTCATGCGCTGAATGGCGGCTGCAGCTACTGACTTGGGCTCTTTCCCCTTACACTCCCTGGAGACACTTCTTGTCTCTTATATCAACAGGGATTGTTAATCTAAGTGTGCTTCTTCATATGGGTCTGAAAATTAGTTCTGCTCCATATCATTTTACTTGAAACACTATAGAAAATGGCGATAAAGTCAAAGGGACGTTGTGGGCAACGCTGAATTCTTGTTTTGCTGTCCTAGATTCCTGTAATACAGATCGTTCCTCTGCCAGACACCTGTAATCTTGTGTGTATAGCATTGGGAGATTTGGAGATTGGAGAAATAAGGTGGTGTATTTATTTCTTACTAGTGCTTTGCACCCTGAATAGCTGCAGCTTAACTCTCCTTTTGTGTAGTGTTTGAAGTTATCTCTTACTAATGTGTCACTTTCTCGGTTGCTTTAGCAGTTGGAAAATATGGAAGAGATTTCTAAAAAACTATAAAGACTTGCTTATTCACCCCTAGAGGTGGTAGACTGCTTAAACATATGCTTATTCTTATACACTGTGGCATGTTTGAATTATGCTTCCTTCTGTCATTAGGCATACTTTTCTCTTAATTTAGGCTCTTGCTTTATTCTGCTGAGGATGACTCATTCAAGCAATCACTAGTAAAAACTGGAAATATAAAAGCTGTTCTTGGGCTAAAGGATAGGAGACTGATCAGCAGCAGCAGGACCATGCATGAGCAGCAAGTAGAAATAGTATTGCTTTCAGAGACGGGAAGGTGAGTCTGCTGGTTTTGGGGTGGTCTGAGTGTGGCAGGTGGAAGAAAAGTAAGGAACCATCTCAGATGTAGAAAAGTGTTGGGTTCCTCTTCTTTCTGGAGGTGTGCTGAATACAGAATGCTTACTTATTATTTTGCCTGCCTTTTCTCACTTGCTAATTGCTATTCAGAAGCAGGGACGGACAGACTTTGATGCCCCCTGAAGAAACTGTTTTGGCTTTTGCTGAAGTAGAAGGAATGAGAGATGCCCTGGTTGGCACCACTGCAGTGAACAGCATTGTTGTTTGGTCAGTGTTTCATTTGCAATTGATTAAATGATTTGGTTTGCAGGTGTACGCGGCGGCGGTAACAGCTAGCTGCAGAGGTTACGTAGGGGTGTTGGTTGGCAGCTGATTTGCCTGTGAAATAGCAATTGTCAAAGGGCCTACAGCATGGCACTTTAACTTCCATACAGTTGGATAGATAGCGAATGAGCTATGCTGCTGTAATTCCACTTGCTTTTGCATCATATTCATTACCTCTGTTCCTGTGGCCTCTTGTCTTAGTTTGGTTTCTGTGAAGTCAAAACTGTGTCCGTCTTGCATGGAAATGTGGTCAGAACTTGTATTTTCACCAACTGCAGGAATTTGAAAACAGGCCAGCTCCTGAAGAAGATGCACGTTGGTTATTCCTACCCAGCTTCCATCTGCCATCGAGCATATTCTGACTCTGTACGTACGTGAAATATGACATGCAGTTTATGCATGGACTGCACTGACTAGCTCTGGTGGGGACTTAGAGGATTAGGGTTTCTAGGGTGGATTGGGATATCACCTCTATTTAGATACACTAAAGATATTTCAAAGGAAAATAGGTTAACTAGGAGAAATAAGCCACACCAGCTACCTCGAATTCCTGGCTTTCTGCAGTGTACTAATGAAATAAGAGTGGTACATCAAAGTGTATTCCAAAGCAGCAGCATCTTGCATGTGGGAAGCAGAAGTACTGTTGCCCAGTGCTGCTGCTTGGTAAGTCTCTTCCATTTTGCAAGTGGGTAGCTTCCAGCATGGTGGTGGCACACCGCCATTGTCAGAAAACCTATCTGAAGTGGTTATTATTTACACATAACCCCAAGGACATGAACCGTTGAAAACCAAGATTCATAATAATGATTCTTTCCCACTTGCTTCCACCTGTGCTGTGATTCCAGATGGATTTTTGTGGTTTATCAAGGATTTGATTGTTTTCAGTGAGCATTTGACCTTTTGGGACAAGAATGACTTCTCTGATAATGATGGCTTGAGCCAGACTCTTTGGAGACTTCCTCCGAATACCTATCCCAGGGTATTCCGTGCTGGCCTGTGGCTGTTCTGAGAGCCACTGTTTTCAGCTGTGCTGGTTTGCGTGGAATTCTTGTTAAATTTTAAGCTCCTAGGGATTAAAATGAGGCCCAGAAATGTTACTTTAACTGTCACCTCATCCTGCAGTAAGTCTTATTTTCTTAGGCAGAAAGATAAGCGTATAAATCCATTGGGTCACTGAGCTGTCATTCTGCTGTATTGCATCAGCCCTTATCAGTCAGCAACTGCTTTGGTTTTTATCTAATTTGATAAGGAAAGTAAACCATTTCTGTTTTATCCAGTAAAAATAATGCATCACTGTCCATGGGGCTTTGATTATAGAGGGAATGTAGCAATTAATTTTTGGAAAATTCTTTGAGTTTTTTCCCCTCTTGCTGTTGTTTTTAGTGATATATTTTTCCTCTGTGTACCAGGGCCTTCTGTTTGTTGTTTTAAGTCATCCACACGCCAAAGAGAGTGAGTCCTGTGGAAACCCCGCATTCCGCGTCATAGCGTTCAACCCCAAAACAGCCAGGAGCACGGGAGTGATGTTCTCCTCCCTTCCACCTGGGTGTGCTGGAAGGCAAGTACCTCTGGGACTCCGCATGCTGGCTTCATGATTCCTCCGATGTGGTTTTGGGGGAGAATCGCTTAATGCGCTGAGTAGCACTGCTGGCAAGGATCCATTTGCCATCTTGCAGATGATAAGGAGGCTGCATCCGTCCTGCCCTTTCTCCTGTACATAGGCTGGAGTGGGGCGAGGGTGTTGGCTGTTTCCTGCCCGCTTCCTGCGCCATTCTGCGTGCTGACCTCTGCGCTCCTGGCGTCACCGCGCGGCAAGGGGCTCCGCTCACCGGAGCTCTGCCGACAAACAGGAGCATTGCTCTTCTGCACGCTGTACACTTTTGTCTTTCTCTCCCTGCAAAACGACTGGAAATGCTGTAACAGGGCTCATCAGGCACCCCCCCCCCAGGAAGATGTCTGCAGATGAGACTTGCTGAGCCTGTGTGCTGTTAAAGAGCACTTTGCTAGGTTTATTTGTGTTAAGCAGCTGTTTGCAGTCAGATGACCTTTTCCTTCCTACGTCTTGTATTTTGAAGAGTAAGCTGTTTAAGACTCGGTCTTGCAGCGCTCTTACATCCATTGTCATGCTGATTAATTTTCTGCGTTAAAAACCAGCTAATTTTAAAAAATGCTATGATAATGTTTTGACAAACAAACTGCGGCATGGTGACGCCTCTGTGTACGCCCATAGGTACCTGGAGGGTGACGTGAGGGATGCTTCTGCTGCAGCCGTGCTGACGTCGGG